TCAGCTGGACTTGTCTGCTGGGTGCCTGTGGGGCTGGGGGAACCGAGAGCCATGCCTTCCGTGCGTGTGGAAGTTGGACACTGAATCAGGAAGACTGCAGAAGAAGCCAGGCGTCTGAACGGTGGTGCCGGCAAAGAGTGCCGAAAGCACCAGGGACGGCCCAAGGAACCAATAGCTCTGTCTTGGAAGAAGTGTGGCCAGTGTGCTTCTTGCGAGACTTTGTCTCACATACTTTGGACTTGGTGTCTGGCGAGACCAGTTCCCGGAGAAGGACATCATGCTTGGGAAAGCAGAAGGTGGTGTAAAAGAGCAAGGCCCTCACCGAGATGGGCTGACACGGTGGCTGCCACAGTGGGCTCCGGCATAGGAACACTTGGGATGGTACAGGACCGGGCAGTGTGTCCTTCTGTGGTCCACAGGGCCTGGACCACCCATGACAATCACAACAGATCCACACCTGCGCAGTGCTGAAGAATGGGCCCTCTGGTAGCTTTTAGGCCCGCAGTCTTCCTGCAGACAGTGCCATTCATGAAATAATAACCAGAGACTCCTTCTCAGGCCGGGGACAGTGGTAGCTCAGTGGTAGACTCTTCACCTTCCCTACGGGAGGCCTGGGTTCGATCCCCGGGCGGTGCACCTCATGTACAATCACCACCCTGCCTGCTGCCAGTGGAGGCGGGCATGTAGCTAGGAGGCCGAACAAGTTTCAGCAGAACGTTCGGACTAAGAAGATTAGGGAGAAAGACCTGGCAATTGCGTTTTGCCTTTTGTTTTCAATCAGCCAATGAGAATCGTCGATGGGTCCCAGCAGTCAAGGAGCTGGTACAGGGCTGGGCAGTGTTTCCTTCCGAGGGCCTGGGCTAGGCTTGAGGGCGGCTCACTGCACTTCTGAGGTTCCCAGTCAGTCTGAGAGCAGGGCGGAGCCGTGGCCACTGCCCTGTCCCTGGCAGCCCTCCCTCTGATGGGAGGCCAGCAGGATCAGTGAGTTCACCATGCTGATGGGAGATCAAGGTTGGCTCCTACATTTCCACCTCTTTCAAGAGTCTCCATGTCTCTGATGCAATCACCCCCCCACCTTCTGAGACCAACATCTTTGCCTGCATGGCATTGGGCTGCTCCCCACGAGGTGGGCGGATCAAACCCCCCAGCCGTGCAGAGGAAGAAAGATTAGGCTGTGCAGACTCGAGGAAACCCTGTGTTGCGTCGCTATTGTCTCAGAAACCCAGAGAAGGTTCCACCCTGTCCTTCAGCATGGCCACGTGGGCACTGACTCCGTGGTGCTGAGTTTGGTTGAGTTTGTGGACGTCAGAATTCACTCGATGGCGGCGGGTAAGTGGTGGTGGGTGGGTTGCCCAGCTGTTGGTGATGATGTCACTAAGTCCCTTCTGACTCTTCCCACCCCAAGGTAGCAGAGAAAAGCTGCCCCCGGGGGGCTTCTGGTCT